GTGTGCAGCACCTCCATTTGGGGAGGAGGTCCAGAATCTTCTGAGCTCCTGGAGGCAAAATTCATGACATACATCCATCAGGATGATGGCTCTTCTGTGATCCCTGAACAATAAACACTTGCAATTTCTAATTGCAGTAGCTTTTGAGTAGGGGCTTCTCTATTTGCTTCTAGCTTACTTTAGGTTGACAGTGATTTGTTTGTTTGTTTGTTTGTGTTTGTTTTTATTGATCAGGGTGTAAGGGTGATTTCTTTCCTAGGTTCTTGTCCAGATGAACTCAAAAGAATGAAGCCACAGACAAAGGTGGTAGGTGAGAAGTGCAGAAACTTTATTACAAGCACATACTACTCTGAAACTCCCAATTATAAGCTTCTAATTCTAAGATTCTGTCTCTCCTAAAGAGGGTTGCCACAGCACTCTTTGTCTTGGGGCATTATAAAGGCTGTAGTTTGTCTCTTCATGACCCTTTCTAATTGGGCCCTCCCCAACTTCAGATCCCTGTGTTTTCCTCATTGGTCACTCTGCAAAGGCAAAACCCCAGGTCCTCCTCTTTCTTTCCCCGTATTTCGCAACATTCCTCCAGACTCTGTGAAAACATATTTCTTTTCCAGAAATTCTGTCTTTCCTTTTTTCCTTCACATATCGCTCTTATCTGTTCAAGGTGGAGTTACTTTTGATAGATCTTATGGTACCTAGTAACCTTATCCTGCCAAGTGTTGAGATTGAAACCACTGGCTTCTTTGCTCAAAAAAGGTAAAATGGCCTCTTTTCTCTCTCTCTCTCTCTCTCTCTCTCTCTCTCTCTCTCTCTCTCTCTCTCTCTCTCTCTCTCTTGGCCAGAGATTTATTATCCCTGTGGCTCAGCAAGAGATACCTCTGTCCTTGGTTTATGTCTATTCTAACTGTTCAGGCCAAGATGCCTCTATCTTCTTTAGACCGCTCCCTTCCTGTCTTAAGCTAGCTAGTTAACAGCTCTTTCTTTATCAATTTTTATTTTGCTTTTGAAAGAATGGTAACAACCCAACAGGGTTGCAGCTGTCCAGTTCTGCAGGGAGTTTAATGTCTGGTCCCACAGACTGCAACCCAAGCTGACGTCAATCTCCCCCCCGCACCCCCTCACACACACACACCAACCCCCATTAAGTTATCAGCCCTATCTGGAGGCATCCATCCAGAAGGAAAGTCCAGTGTGGGTGGAGTATTCATACCATCAGTCAGGCCAGTGGATGCTCTCCCCTCTCTGAAGGTGAAACTGAAATATGTGGAATATCAGAATGCATCTCCTCACTGAGCTCACGCATACATTTCATGAGCCGGCAAACCCGCTAATGTGCTTTAAAACCCATGTAACAGCCTCTCTTTTTCCTTATTTCCGACGGGAGGTATTTTTAGTTCCTGATGATGAAACTTCTGTGATTCAAAATCTTTTCATCACTTTTTTCTGTAACGCTAATAAGTCAAAAATCAAAATTAAACAAAGCTGAAAAATATTTTTAAAATGTTTAATGAGTACACATTTACAAATGCAGTCAGGGAAGCATACAGAAATAAAAGGTCTATGAGCTTAAGAAAAATGTTACTAGACTACACCAGTAGTGAAGAAATGTAGTCTAACTTTTACCTATAGAACAGTTTGGATCTGTTAAAAGAAGTATGGTTCACTATTTCCATCTATTGCAAACTCATTTAGTTGGCTGTGTTAGCATGGTCAAATTGCTTTGATGGTTTGGGGAGGGAGGGTTTTGGGAGAAAAGAAAAGGAAATTGGCTTTTCTGGACAGCTGGTCTGATTTGGAATCTGTGTGGTTGAGACCTGGCAACCTAGTTGTCAAAACCATTAGGGGGCGCTCTTTAACCTCTAGCTTCATGGAAAGCTTTTAAAAAAATATTTTAAATTCTTTATTGTTGAAAGTGTTACATATGTTTCCATTCCCCCCACCTTCCACCCCTCCCATTTCATAGAAAGCTTTTATTTGTACCTGAATAGAGCATTTCTACTAGGTTATAAAAGTAGAGTCTATTTTACTCCAGGCGAGTTTTGTTACCTAGGAATAGTATTTCCTATTTTTAGTGATGATTGTGACCCATAAAAACATATTACTCTGTTACTAAAAAGGAGCATGGTATCAGCTAGATAGTCTTCAACCAATTCTGTAGCCAAAGGGCAGGCTACAACCCTCCAACACTCGGCTGTTTGGCATAAAACAGAGGGGATGAGTAGGGACATTTGGGGGCACCTCATACACAGCTCTGCTCTCAGTCTTCTGGCTTTTTGTATCCTGGGCAGATCAAGGATAAATCAATGGTCATATGCTCTGTGTATCTTCTCAGTGAACACAAATTGAGATAAAATGCAAAACCTATAAAGGAATGATGACACCAACACTCCTCGCCAATACCAATGATGCTGACAAGGTCACTTTAGAAACAATTTGGCAATATATATCAAATGTTACTAAAAGTTCTTAAGGTTTTGTAATCCCAATTCTTAGTGAGTATTCTGAAGAAGTAATTTGAAATATGGAAAAAAGTTGTAAGTGCTAAGATAGTCTCTGAAATGTCATTTGTTTTAGTAAAGAATGAATATAACCTTGCATTCTTAATTAGAGCAGTGGTTAATAAATGCCGACTTGATATAATAGTATGCAGCTATAAATTAAAATACATGTACCATGTAACTAAGAGAACAAAGCCACTAGTACATTAAGTGAAAAAGGATGTTAAGTTGAGTATTCAGTATAAGTAGAACTATTTTAAAAAGTTTTATAGAAAAAAAAATCCTGGATCATGGGTGATGTTTTAATACATTTTAATTATTTTGTATATTATCATGTAGAATATATGATAAAGTTAAAAAAAAAAGAGTCCATCCAGAATAGCTCAGTTGGGTGAGCGCCATTCTGTGCATCAAAAGTTGCCAGTTCAATTCTGGTCAGGGCACATGCCTGGGTTTCAGTTCAATCCCCCTTGGGGGCAGGCGCAGAAGGCAACAGATCTATGTTTCTCTCTCTCCCCCCCCTTTCTCTATCCTCTCTCTAAGCATGTCGTTGAGTGAGGATTAAAAAAAAAAAAAAAAAAGTGAAACGAGAAAAATAAATGGTGAGAAAAAAAAATTAATACTGAATAGAGCAGGTGAAAAATGTCCAACCAAAGCCTTTTGGTTATTTCAGTGTGTGGGAAGATCGTGCCTGAGGCTCTTTCTAGGTTCATGTATGAGCCAGGAAGGTAATCTGGTGAAGGTCATCTTGGAAGTGGAAGTGTCAGCACAGAAAACAGAATTGTAGGCAATTAGACAGACATGAGCAGAGCAAGGACGATGGTCCTGGAGGTCATTTGGGGGGAAAGTCCCGATGGTGACCTTTCCTCCCCTGGCACATCACTGATTGTGCAATTTGGACCCCCTGGCCTTTTCTCCCTGGAGATAACACTAGGCCTCAGCTGTATTTTAGCTGTAGGCACAAAAATGCAGCAAATCAGACAAGCAACCCCATGGCTGGCCTCAGGACCGGCTGCATTGGATAATGAGCCCCTGCCCTGGCAGCAGTGACCAATCAACCAGCGGAGACCGAGGCCCTGAAAGGACACAGCTGGAATACTGCTGAATGTCTTTTTGAGATCTTCTCCAGCGGCCTCTCCTAAAATCTCCACCCTGACAACCCTTTGGGCAAGGACCCAGGGGCTCTCCCTCCCCCTCCCCAGAGCACCCCCATGTCTTCCCTTCCTTCTCTTCTGCCCCTCAGGTGCCACCAACTTCACCTTCCTCACTTCTAGGCTTCAGAGGTCCTTTCCTTGCCTCAGTAACTTGTTTCCTAAGCCCATCTCTTCTACTAATTACTTCTGCTATCTCTGTGACCTTCTAAATACATTTTCTCTTGGCTCCGAATTATTTCCTAATCAGACTCAGATACTGAGGTTGCTGAACCCCAGGTCCGGTCTGACCCCACCAGTCTAACACCTGCCATCGTTCTCACTGCTCTTGATGGAATCATCCTGCATTGCAGTGAGGATCTGAGAAAGGACCAAGTCTCATTTAACAACTACTGCTCATGCCTTTCTGCCCTAAGACTTTCCATAATTCTCTCATTTGTCTATGTCACTTTCACTTTCATTATTCACTTAATTTCACTGCTTAAAATATGACAAATTATAGAAGCTCCTTTTTATATTAGAAATTTATTTCATAGATGATTAATACTGAATAATATTTGAAATATATTGTTTTCAAAGCATATAATACTTGAACTAAACCAAACCTAATCTAGTGCATCTTTACAATTTTTATTTAGCTTGCTATCTGAAATTCTGGTTTATTTAACCAGAATTCTTCTATTTTAACTCAATCTTTCTTATACCTATTCCTTGTAGAGGAGGGATCTTTGGACAACTGTCTATATTTGTGTATATCTGACCCATACTTCCAATCAATTGTGGTATTTTTGTTGTGTTGTGAAATAGTTTCTCACTGTTCACAATCATATTGGTAAGAGCAAAATCAAAGAGTACATTTGACTACAGAATTCACTATGGCGATATTTATAATCACCTTCATGTCCAAAAGACAAAAAACGAATTCCTTTTACTTCGTTGGCCCTCTTCTTCAGATGTACCAAATAAAGCCTTTATCAGTGACCACCATTTCCCTGTCTTCTCTGTCACTCCTCTCAGACCTTGAACCAGAGAAGAAAAGTGCGTGTACTTCCCCTGGAGTTTGCAAGACATTAACTAGACTCTGCATGGTGTCCACAACCATGAGTGTGAAGCCACAAGGCTAATCTGGATCTCAGCCCGACTGCCTCTGGGAGAGGCAGGACCTACACAAATCCATCACTCACCGGAGGTAAAAGGTTGTTCTCTTCCAATCCCTCCATTTTTTAAAGTCAGGCAACATTTCCTTTGCTGTTCACAAACTTCAGGCCATGGCGGGAGAAAAATGCTTTCTTTATTCTTCCATTATTTTTCTATAAACATACAGTTCGGAACTCTGGGTGAACGGAACGTCGCTTTAAATGTCTGTTTGTCCATTCAGTGCTGATTTAGAGACTTTTGAGTTCCTTTCCCAACCCTGGCGGATCCGTGTGAGGGTCTTGTCTACACATGGCAGGACGAGGATAAACTTGATCACCAGCACGGTGCAAGGAATGATGAGTGCTAGTATGTAAGCCGAAGGAAGATACCACCTGAGACTGGAAGGACGGAGGAATCGGTCTCCGCCATATATCAGGGTGTGAGCTGTGCACAAGATCAGGGTCAAATAACCCAGTTTGGACTATAAAAGCAAGAAACAAAAATATGTACATTAACACTATTTGCATTTTACAGCAAAATCTTGGAAGCCAGTGAAGAATATTGTCAACAACCACAAGCATTCGAAATCTTTCATATTTAGAACACTCTGCAAAACTCTGAGGAAAGCACTAACCCTTCTTCTGGATGAAAAAATATTTTGCATACAAATGACATGGTGGTTCATCTTAATCTGGCTGGATGGGAAAGTCTCCCAGGAGCAAACTCTTCTGAGTTAGAATGAACAAGCTGCCTTGCCTTCTTGCTCAATGGGCACCTATTCCCTTGGTTACCATTTCTGAAGCTCAGAGATGAACAAGACACAGTATGTCCTCAACAAATACTGCATCAGTATATGTTACTGACTAAACACACATACTATCTCAATTCTATCACAATAAAGAGCAATAGCACACTTTACTTTGATCTGTTTTGGCCTATATACTAAAGCTCAATGTGTGTCTTAATGTCTTGAACATGTCGACTGTATTTGGTCCCTGGATACTAGTAAATCAGACTTTTGAAATTGGAATAGTTCTATAAAATTCAAACCTAAAGTCCATATGAATGGTCTATTCCATCACACTGGTTCACAATGAGCATGCGCCAGACTATCTGGAGGGCTTGTAAAAACAAACTGCTGGTCTTTCGTCCAGAATTTCTGATCCATTAGGTCTGGAAGGACCTGGGTATTTGTGTACCTAACAAGATTCCAGATGATCCTGCTGTTACTGCTGCTGCTGCTGGGTGCAGGTACCACACTTTGGGGACCACTGGTTTGTAAGAATAGTTAAAAATCCCTTTTAATGAGGGGTCTGGTGGTTGATATGTGGAAAATACGGATTTTTTTTCTGTTACAGCCCAGCACTGAGTCTGGTATGATGACAGTCTAGCATTATGTGTTTCTAAGGTTTTACACTTATTTCAATATGTTGCTTTATATATGAATGGGACCCTAATTGAAGATTCATTTTCAGAAGGAGAAATGTCTTTGGGTTTCACTTTACCTTGCATCAAATCCATTGGCACAGAATATAATAGTTGTTGGTTTTCTTTCACTCTATACTTGCACCTGTGGCTCTGGGAGGAATCAGGAGTCTGGGCAAGGGATGCCCTGCTAGGAATCAGACCATTATGAATCTGCCTTTGTGGTACCAGAATTTAGCCTGTTCTAAGTTGAACTTGTTTCAGTTACTATTTTTAGGAGATTGCTGGTGAAGTGATGGAGCGAAAGGAAAACATGTGTGTGGTGTGAGAGAAAAACGAGGATATTTGTAAAGCCTGACACATTTTGCCATGAAAGTAGGTTAAATTAGACGTCCTTACCTGGACAAATCGGAACTCTCTCCAGTTGACAATGTTGCTAACGGAGGGCAAGGAAGTGATCCCCAAGAGGACGAAGAAGAAAAATCCAAGGACTCCCAAAGACAGGTATGAATCACTAAGCCAGGCTCTATTCGTACTAAAAGGATTATCTTTCTTGGATATTGCCTAAGAAAAATTACAAGCAATGTTTAAAAATCACATGTTTTAATAAACTGTCCAAACTTTCAAGGGGACTGAAAACAACTCTGCATGGCTTATTTGCTCAAGGCAAATTAGATGACATTTCTTAATAGTCATTTGAAAATCATTGTAGAGAAAAATACACTTAGACATTATTTTTGTGATAGAAAAAGTAATTGGTTCTGCTGGGACTTCATTATAATCATTGACTCCAGGAGTTGTATAGGGAGTTTTAATTGACCCTATACATACTAAAACAAAGCAAACATTTACTTAAACCTTTTTTTTAATCATATAGTTTCTTGTTTCCCAAGCAAAACTGGATGTTCTCACATAATTACAGCAAGGTTCTGTTTTTCTGTTCTATATACTTATCATTTATACACGGAAAGTTTGGGTTCTTTCAAGTTTATTATATTGTAATCCAGCATCAACTCTGTCCCACACAAATTGAGAGAAATCAGGCCACTTTAATGTGATTCTCCCCCAAGAACCTTACATGTATTTGTAAGGGAAGTGATGTTGAGAAACCCACAGAAGCAACATAAATGAGTTATTGACTAATAAACTATGAGGGTATGATTGGTTGAAATCAATGACTTCCTAACTGGAACTGATGTGTAGCATTTCCTCTGGGACTGCTTTTAAGACTCCCTGAGCTAATTCTCTTTGGATTTTTTTTTTTTTTTTTTTTTTTTTTTTTTTTTTTTTTTGGCTATGTAGAAAACAGTTTTTGCCATTTGCTTAGAAAACTAAGCAGTTGAGGCAGTCACGGCATTAGTACAGGTATAAACACTCTTTTGTAAATTTGTTTACATTTTTGTGCCACAAGTTCAAATGCCCCCCTTCCTATTTAGATGGTTGTTTTTGACTTCCTAAAAGAGGTAGCATGCATAAAAACAGAAGCTTGAAAATGCAGTGCTTTACATTTATTGAATGTACCCCAAAGGAATTTAAGGAGGTGTCATGAGGTTTTTTGAGACCTCAAATCTGTCAGTTTATCAGGATCCCAGTCAATCCTGGGAATACAGAGCTAGACCCAAGAAACCTGGGAATCTATCTCACCTTCTCAATGGTTGTATGAGATGTCAACTGGATCCACTCAAAAACAAAAACGAAAAACAGACATGAGGTGTCTAATTTTAGTTACTTTAAAAAATAAATACGCTGAGAAGATGGATTTTCTATAACAGTAAAATGGATTATCATGTAGCAAGATCCCTCTTTGAAGAAATAGGAGAGCACGAATGAGTGGGGATTTACCTGGGTAGCAGTGAAGTTTCCCAGCCTCCATCGTACATAGTAACGGATAGGAATCAACAGTGTGTAGATGACGTGAAGGAAGGCAAATCCCAGTGCTATCAAGCCAAGCTGCTTTCTGCAGAGCATCCAGTGGTCAAGCCAGTTTGGGAACCGCCGGTATTTCGTTCCCCAGTAGAGCTGCAGAATGGCAGCAATGACGCCGGGGAGGTAAACCACAGCGAGCAGCGTCAGGGCCGCTATGGGAAAGACACGGTTTGGGATGGAAACAGCCATGCGAAATGTGTGATCCTTTTTTTCATTCACATAAGGGTAGATTACGTCTCTGATAACACAGTAGACAAACAAGAAGATACACAGGATGGCAGAGAAGTAGAAGGGGAACTTCCACATGGGAAACAGCTGCAGGGGGTAATCTTCAATTTCACTGGCTGCCAAGAGAGATCCTTGGTCCAACGGAGTCAGCCCAAGAGCACGCACTATATCCATCACTCTTTGCTTGGCTTTGCTGTCATTTCCGCAGACGAACACCTTGGCGAAAAATGATTAGTTTGGTATGTATTCTTTAATAATTATTTTGGAAAGTCTATCTAAATACTGCTTAGAACAGGACGTATAGGAGGGAACTGCTTTTCAAACAAGGATGCTGAATTAACATATTTAATAAGATGAAGTTTTAAACATGCACATGTGGGTCGGGCAGTTAAGTACCAGAGTTTCAAGTTGAGAGTGATTTTTTTAGGCACATCACACTGATAGGGCAAGCCTCTATTTTCCTCAGTGTGAACAGTTTGATGCTTCTTCTGTATTTGTGGGTGCTGCATCATTTATGGATTCCCGCTAATCTCAGTAAATAAATGGAAGTAGTTTCATACAAGGTAATGGGAGTGCAAAAGATATCCATCAACCATTTTAGGTGTGTTATTTTCTAGTATTAACACGAGACCTCCAGAGACTGACACCACTGGGTTCTATCTAATCAGAAGCTTTGCAGACAGTGGAAAATGAATCACAATTAATTCATGGCACCTATTAGTAGAGTGAAATATTCAGTAGGTATTTTACTTTGAGGTAAGTGCACATAAGAAATTGAGTGTAGCCCTAGCCAGTTTGGCTCAGTAGATAGAGCATTGGCCTGCGGACTGAAGGGTCCCAGGTTCAATTCCGGCCAAGGGCACATGCCTGGGTTGTGGGCTCTATCCCCAGTAGGGGGCGTGCAGGAGGCAGCCGGTCAATGATTCTCTCCCATCATTGATGTTTCTATCTCTCCCTCTTCCTTCCTCTCTGCAATCAATAAAGAAATATATATTTTTTAAAAAAGGAATTGAGTGTAAAGTAAATGCACCATTTGATCTTACCTGCCGACTTGCGTCCAGGGCTCCTGACTGGAGAGCCCACGCTGAGATGGTGTTAAATGCTTTCACTATGAGGGCTCCCGGCACCAGCTGGGCAAGGTACTCTGCATTGGATTCTGGGTACTGATGGATTTTGAGGTTGTTGCTGACATCGACCAATATTTTCCCACGGAGAACCTCAGTCAGTGCCGTGAGAAGATCGTAATGTTCCCTGTGGATTGCTATGATTATGATGTCAGATTTCTGGGCCGCTTCGGAATAGCCCAAGACCTCTGCACCACTCGGCAGCAGGCTGGATTTCCTGGGGTTTCGACTTCCAAAGACAACGGAATAACCACACTGGATCATTTTAAGACCCAGTGATCTTCCAAAGTCTCCAGTTCCAAAAATACACACAGTCTCTTGCTCATCTGGGGGAATCGTTGTAAGAGGAAGTGTATCTGTAGAAGTTTTCTCCATGACTGAAAGAAAACAGAACAAATACCCAACAAAATATGAATGCTCTGGGCATGGAAAAATTAATGAGAATTATCTCCAAGAAACAGTGGTTGACTGATGCTGTTCTAAGTGTCTAATGAATTCCTCACAAAATTTTGAAGGAGTAAAAATTGTTACATGTAGCCCAGCCAGCTTGGCTCAGTGATTTACTGTCGATCTAGGAACCAGGAGGTCTTGGTTTGATTCCTGGTCTGGTCACGTGCCCGGGTTGTGGTTTCAGTCCCCAGTGTGAGGCATGCAGAAGGCAGCCAATCAATGATTCTCTCGCATCATTGATGTTTCTATCTCTCTTTCCTTCTCCTTTCCTCTTTCAAATCAATAAAAATATATGTATTTTTTAAAGTATCATATGTATGTTCTAATATGTCTTGTTTAACAAAATTATTGATGAAAAACTTCTTTTGAATAAAGAGATGCAATAAAAAACCAAGACACTTACTGGTGGATGTTTTAAACTGTGCATATATTTTGCAATGATATTATATTTACTCAACAGAGTTCCTAAAGTTCTAGTGTAGTGTGCCTGGCTGTCCCCTCACTACTCTATTTGTTTATCCTAATATATTATTTTTCTATCTCTTATATTGGGAATAAAATTTGCAAATAAAATACAGATTTGATCAAGTTGCCTATGTCCTGTAATGAGATGGATGATATCTATATTGACATATTTTCACTTGGATCATCTTAATCATTGCAAAGAGAGAGTGATTCTGGAGTTTATTGTAAATAACTTGGCAACTACATTCATTTATTATAGAGTGAAGTTTTTTTTTAAAATGAAGATGTGCACTACACAGTCCTATATTTTTTATTCCACCTTTTACTAGACCTTGGTTGGGTAAGTTCTTCAAACTCTTTGTGTCTCAATGTCATTTTTAAAATGAGAATTTGGTAGTATGTATCTATCTACCTTGGAGACATTGGAAAGATTGGATGCATTCATTTTAAGATATAGTGACATAAGTGAAGTATTGTACTTTGATTTTCTGAACTTATGTATGCTATCCCAATCGATTGAATATTCCATTGTTGGTGGTTTGAATATCCCATTGATTGTAATCTTATTGGTTATCAAAGGACATTCTTCCGTACCTGAAAACCAGGACAGCACAATTACCCTACATTGTCTCAGTGGCTCCAGATAATGAGTTCTGGTTGACTAGGTGGTCCCAAGACCAGGACAGCACAATTATTCTAAATTGTCTCAGTAGCTCCAGATAATGTGTTTCTGTTAATTCAGTGATCCGTAGACCCAAAACTATACTTAATCTTTATAGATAACTAACTTGCTCAATTTCGCTTCTGTAACTGCTTTGTGCAAACCAGGTTCCTCATTCCAAACCCAAAGATGTAATCGATACCTTTGTGATATTCTGCCTATATAAGCCAGATGTGGCCAGCATTTCAGGGTTGCGAGATTTGGAGTGCTTATGCCCCCTCGTAACCTTTTGAATAAATGACTCCATAATTTGACTCTTTGATTGAGGCATCCTTTGTGAGATTCGGGGGGGTACACTACATCAATAGTAAATTTATTATTAATAGATTACTTAATAAACCATTAATTATTGAATGAGTCAATATAGTAATTATCTAATTAATATAATCTTTATATAAATTCTGTAAATTTAGGTTTAATTTTATGCTTCTATAAGTTTGTTTAGTGGAAATGCATACAATTTATCTGAAACAGCATTCCATAATTCTTAAGAAGCTTATGCTGTCCTCTTATTTTTCATAAATAAAACCTCACATGAAATGGCTTTAGAACATATGGATTTATGAAAACATTGATGTAAAAACAGCTCAAGTGTGAATTTCTCTCATTTATAATTCTTTCACATTTAATTTTAATATTTCTATCTTAAAATGCAACCTGGCAACCCAATGTAACATACCTGGCTGTTACTCCAACCATTATAATTAATTTTCACTCTTCAACCTTCAGAGACATCACTGGGCAAATTGAAGTTGCAAAACCAGTAACGAGATACAAAATATCACTGGCTGACTTAATAGAAGGAACTATAGTTATTCCATTGGTCATAACTCCTATCACGTTATAGAAGCTCCTAGGTTGATAATCATGTTGGCTACATCTTGAGCTCCATATCATATCTTCCAGGGTCTATCTCCAGTGCTTGGACAGTAACTGAGTGCCACTCAACTTCCAGTGCCTAAGAGGCTCACTTTGGGGCTCCACATCTTATATATCTTGATTCTTGTCCTGGAGTCCCTCTGACACCTCTACTGGGTATAACTCAGACATGTACAACTCCTGGGGCTCCCATGGACCAGGACTCCATAGATAAGTACTTCCCTTTCATTCTCTGGCACAGAGTTCTGACCAATTTCATAAGGCTCTCCAGAAAGTCCACTGGATCAGAGCATCACTCATCTGTAGCAATGGCCAAGGTAACATCTTCTTCCTGTCTTTTCCACCTTCCCTGTTTTGTGCCCTCATGCCTGCTCTCTGAAGTCACTTCCCTAATAAACTGCACACAAGCCTTTGTCACAGTTCTTCTTGCTAATCAACATAAGAAAATGCAATATTATGATTACTTTCTTATGAAAAAAAAAAAGACCTGACCTAAGGTTACCATAACTGTGATGATGAAATAATTGCATATAAAAAGTTAGTATTTGGGGAAATACCCTAACAATAGAAGTACGTAAAAATGAGATGTATGCATGCTCTAAACCACAAGACAGATAATTTTACAGTAAATACTACATAAAGAAGGAAGTTACACCCATTTCAGACTATTTGTAACTCAAAACAACTCCCAGGTGTAAACATGAATTTATGGAGGTAGTAAGGGTTCTTGTTTCAAAACTTAAAGCTTCCTAATCCTATTTTTCTCTTGGATGTAGGATGGAATTATGGAATAAAGAAAAGAAGAAAGGTGGCAAAGAGGCAGCAGAGTTATTGAGGAAAAGATGGGTTAAAAACAGTTAAAACATAACAGTGGTCTCCTCTCTTTCCTTTAGCTCTTTATAAACCTGCTACGTAACAGGAAATGCGACAACAACATCTCCTGGTTTGGGAAATCACCAGGACTGGTTTTACCTCCTATAGAAATAGGCTCCTTGAGAGGTGGGCCAGACAGGTAATCTGATCCAACAAGGATTTTTGTAGAGATTAGAGATTAGCATCCAATGAGGCAAATGCAAAAATGGCCAAGAGGACTGTGAAAGCCATGGTAAGAGCTGTCACTGAAATGCACGCTGTGTGTGTGTGTGTGTGTGTGTGTGTGTGTGTGCGCATGTATGTGCGTGTGTAATGAAGAGTCTTGCCTATCATCTCCCTGTTTGCAGATCCCACCCCAGGTTTTGGAAACCTGAGGCAGCATTCTTAGATGTTCTTAACTTGGCTTCCTATGAGGATGCTAGAGCCAGTGTGGTGTGTTTACTTCTCTTACCTCCCAGGGGTCAGACAGACATCACAAGCCACTTCCAGGAGCAGAATGTCAAAACAGGATTACAGAAATTGCATATATTAAATGCTTATAGTTAACAAATCAATGATATTAACCAAAAACTTTTCATCTGAAATAATGACACACTCACAGAAAGTTGTAAAGGTAATACAAGAGGTTCCTGTGCATCCTTCAGGAATGGACAAAAATAAAATGGAGTGAGCATTACTAAGAGTCCCGTTATATAAGAGTCAGGAGGCATTAAGGAAGTGGGGCCTGTGCATACAGGGTGCCCCAGTTCTCAGAGCTGCCAAATTGCTAAACCTGTTGCTACACTCAGCTCCAGGCTGACTCACAAACCTGGAGCAACAACCCCTCTGTGGACACACATGCACTTGACCGTCTCCTTGTGGTTTGTTATCCCCTCCTTGACGTATTGGAACTAACCAATCTCCGTCACCTAACCAGCAATCCTTCATTTGCAGGAACGAATTACCCTTGGTGTTTTTTGTCTTTCCAAATCCTGCCTTTGTTCTCTCTGAGGACAACTTGGGCTGCCACCTGAGTCTGTGTCTCAGGGATTCAAATCTTTTAGGATTCCAAATAAACTTTTAAATTGTTTTATGTCCTCAGACCTTGATTAGTTAGCACCCCAATGGCTTTGTGTTATACAGCATAATGCCCCAGAGATTCATCCACGTTGGTACCTGTATCTATAGTCTGACCTTGTTTATTGCCGAGGAGCAGTCCATGGCATGGACCTCTTCATTCGCTCATTTGCCTCCTGCACATCCTGTTTGGTAAAAAGCATCGGTGTCTTCTTCCATTTTCTAATTGGATTGTTTATTTTTCAACTGTTGAGTGTGTATAATTTTTTATGTATACTGGAAATGAGTCATTTGTCAGCTATAGGGATTTCAAATATTTTTTTCCTCAATCTGTTGCTTGCTTTTTCATCATCTTAACAGGGTCATTCACAGAGCAAAAGTTTTTTGTTTTGTTTTTAATGCAATTTAATGGTACTTTTTATGTTTGTGTGGATTATGCTTTTGATATCATGTCTACGATTTCTTCACTGAGCTTTAGGTCCTCAACATTTTCTCCTAAAGGTTTAATAGTATTTTACATTTAAATCCATTATCCATTTTGATTTAATATTTGTATAAAGTGTGATATTTAAGCCAAGATTTTTTTTTTGCACATAAATATCTGATTACTTCCCTATCATTTGTTAAAGAGATCATCTTGATTTCATTGAATTTCTTTTCACCTTGTAAGAATCAGTAGTCTGCACATGTGTGGGTCTGTTTCTGGATTCTCTATTCTGTTCCATAGATCTATGAGTCTCCTCTTGCCTCTGAATGCACTTATATAGTGAGTCTTAAATTTGGGTAAACTAATTATTTCCACTTTATTTTTTAATTTATTTTCAATATTCTAGCTACTTTGCCTTTCAATATAAGTTTTAAGATACTCATATGATGCTTATAGTTAACAAATAATGCTTTTTAATGTATTAAAAATGCAATGTAACCTATT